GAATCAGATACAAGATAAATTAAATATACTTAATGCGAGATCACAGCAGCTTGGTCTGAAAATCCATTAAGGAAAGACAAAGATAATGAGAATAAATCAGGCAAATAGTAATGTGGTTTCTCTTAATGGCACCCCACTCCATGACGTGGAATCGTACACCTATTTAGGCAGTAATGTAGATAAAGATGGGAGAAACTGATAGAGATATTAAAATAAGAATACAAAAGGCAAGAGGAGCTTTCATAGCACTAGGAAATTTGTGGAGAAATTAAAAGAAATACTACACTAAAAAAATGTAATTATAATGTCGAATCAGTACTTTTGTATGGGTCGGAAACATGGAGAACAACTAAGGCAATTACTAATAAATTACAGACATTCATTAACTGGTGCCTGCGCAAAATAGAGGGAATTAAATGGTATGATAGAATAACTAATGAAGAGCTTTGGGGGAGAAATAAACAGGCTCCAGTGGACCAAGAGGTGAGGAAAAGACGCTGGCGTTGGATAGGACACATACTGAGAAAACCGGAGAACAGTATAACTAGAATGTCTTTTCACTTGAACCCACAGGGGCATAGGAATAAAGGAAGGCCACACACACACACAAAACACACACACGGAGAAGAGAGCTAGAGAATGAAGTTAGAAAGATGGGGAGGACATGGGGAGAGCTCTATGTGATGGCGAAGGATAGAACGACTTGGCATGAGTTGGTTGATGGCCTATGCTCCATTGGGGGATAGAAAGGCAGAAGAAAAAGAAGCTTCGGTGAAAAGAACTGGTTGATCGTCCTTCTAGAATTTAGCTTCGTGCCAGAGCCTGAGTTTTTCGTGTACTTTTGTTTTACTGGCTTATTTGTGTGCTGTTTATTGTTCCTTGCCTCTCAGGCAGATATACTCCGACTTCGAAGGAAGCTCCCCATTTAGTCGACTCCTAAGACATGCTTTTTGGGGAGACTGTGGTCTATTTTTGTCCCCCCCCCCCCACCCCCCATTCAGTGGTACTCCTGAATCTACAGGGGAGCCCGAATACCACAAGAAAATAATTTCTCCAACACGTGAACTGATGTCTTTCCCCCACCAGTTCAGTCTTTGAAAAACTGTCTTGAAAAACTGTCTTTCATCGGCTGTCTTTAAACTATTGTCTTTTTTTTAAATGTCGATACTGCATGTATTTTTTTTTATAACCAGAAACCATGAGTTGTTAACCCTTTGTCTCGGTACTATGGATATCGCAACCCTTTAGCCTTAATTCCATGATAGGTACCGTAAATCTGGGAGAAATATGGCTTTTCTGCCAACCTCCAGGTGTGAACCCAGACCACAAGGAGTTCGTCACCCGGTCGTCGCGAAGTCAGGTTTAGCCAACTACGCTAGCGAGCCGGGCACTGCATGCATTAACTACTTTTTTTTATAGCACCGAAATAAAGGTAGAAAAACAGATGAGCGAATATCGAGTTTGAAAATGTAATGCTCTGTAGGTTATACCCCCTTCCCCACCTTCCCCCACACCCCCTTTATCTTCCTAAATTGTTTGTCCTGACAGACAAAATGCGTCACATTACGAAAGATTTGAGCTCTGGCTAAACAAACGATTATCCATTATTCAAAATGCTCAAAAAGTCTAATGGTCGCCATTTACAAACACACAAAAAAATCACCAGAGACGACCGTTGCAGTGTTAATGTGTATTTTGTGCCAGTTTGGCGTACATTATATGACAGCCGTGATAGTTTCAGTAGCGAGTACTTTCACCTGAGGCATTTCAAAAACTTATAATTCATAAATCCACACAGTTTACACTCACTATTAACAGGGTTAGAGGGAGATGGGGGTGGTGGTGACAAATTCATTAGAACTACTTGCGTTACTGTAACTGTAGGTAGTAGGTAAATTTTCATGAAAACATAAAATCCCGAAACACTGATAGATGTTTGTATATATATATATATATATATATATATATATATATATATATATATATATATATATATATATATATATATATATATATATATATATATATATATATATACACACATTCCAATTTTTAAATTAAAGAGCGCAACATGTTTAAAAATGTTAGAAAAAAAAAATAAACCAACATAAAACAAATTATTAATGCTCTATATATTCTGGATGTGTACTTTGGTACAAAGGAACTTTTTCTACGTTCACCCTTAAACAGGTGTTTGGCACTTTGCGCTGTGATTACACCTAAACCGTGATATACGTTTCGGCCCATCACATCCGATTTCTGCAAACCCTATATAGACGCCTCTTACGTAATGCTTGTTAGGGAGTTAGGTCGATTTTGTGTTCTCCCCAGAATGAAGTCCCGGAACCTTAACTAGTACCCAAGAACATTTGTTGAGATTTCCCACGTCTAACATCTAACAAGACAATATGCATTATATATAATAAACAGACAGACATATGGATCAGCAATCTCTTATTTAGCGAGCTTGGTTGGTCAAGCCTCTGGGTACCATTGTGACTGCAGAAAGGCGCTGTCGTCATTTGGAGGTGACCTATTCAATTCCCGAGATGTCAACTACACCTTTCGATTTTGATGTTGTCTATCGTGGCATTGTCCGCTGTGTAGCTGCTAGGTCCTCGCCTGCTAATCTGAAGGTCGTGGGTTCGGATCGAGACGGAGACAGACTTCTTTAAAAAAAATTGTCTTGGTTCCCAGGTCGACCTTGCCTTGAAAGGGTACCTGGTGGAGTCCTGGGAAATAGAGGCGGCCTGTGTGATGCTGACCACAACACCCACCCGAGTGGCGATTGGTCTCTAAAGTATAAGTCTTGTCCCACATCACCAATTCGCCTGAAGACATGGAAAATGGTTCTTTACTTACTTAATGAGTACTTATATCGTTTTGCTTCTTTCTATGAGTGCCAGTTGATACACGAATATTTTTTAATTATATATTATACTATATTTAACTGACCGCCTTCGGCCGGTATAGTCAAAGAATGTTTTATCTCATCGTTATAGTCCCTGCTGCCGTTTATGTAGTAGAGCCCGTGAATCTTGGTTTCCCCCGCTGCCCTATATGTAGGCCTAGTGGAAATAGAGATCTACCTAAAACCCTATATTTAATATCTCGTCTTATATATCATCTTTGTCTTCACGGCTGCCGCATTTGCAGTCAGTGTCTCCCAGTGCACCCGAGGCATCCCCTATAATGCGAACACCAGTATTTACCAATCTAGGAGGCAGATAAATGTATTGCAATAGACACGTATAGATATTTGGTTTCAAAGAAGATAATAGAAAAATAATTTGGTTTCAAATTACCTTTTCAGGAAAGTAATAGGGAAAAAAATATTCAAAGGGATATAGCTCCAGCGAAAGTGTAGTTTCACTGACTGTTGCAATAAATAAAGAAACGCGCAATGACCTGGACCGCCAATATGACTGTTAAAATAAACATTGTAGTCATAAAGGCAAATGCAAATGTAAACGTTGTACTGGTTACGGTTTGGGAGGAGTTGACACTTTATTTATAATTACACAAGAAAGACATAAAAGGTTTGTGATTTATCGTAAATATAATATTTACATTTTTTAGGTGTGTTCCCTGCCGTCCACACAAAATTCTAGAAAAAGCTTAAGAACTTAACATATATATATATATATATATATATATATATATATATATATATATATATATATATATATATATATATATATATATATATATATATATATATATATATATATATAGTTACACACAATTTGACACCTCAGAAACATAAAGTACAACAGAAACTACTCACATTTTTAGCTGCAATATGTTCCGTAGTGTAGTCACAGAAGCGTCTGTAATTTAAAATTACTGAGTGAACTTCGCCACTTTTATTTTCTTGGATGATTTATCCAGCAAGGATGTATCGTTTTGGACTTTCCTATAGATATTCAGAAAAATATTTGACAACCTTCACCACAGACACTATCTATTTCAATAATAAAATATACGTGTAAAATGCAAGAAACAATATGCATAGGCAATTTTGTGTGACGTTTGCAGGCTAGAAATGTTGTACTTAATGTTTCTATGTTGGTCATATTGTGTGTTACAATATGTATGTTTACTTTCTAAGCTTACTTCTAAATTTCCACAAGTACTTAGTCTGCCTCTTCAATGTAACAGGGACAATCTCTGCAGGTAAATGGGGAAAATTTTATAAGTGCTTAGTCAGCCTCCAAAATGTAACAGCGACAATCTCTGCGGGTAAATGGAAAAAATTTTCTAAGTGCTTAGTCGGCCTCCTAAATGTAACAGGGACAATCTCTGCAGGTAAAGGGAGAAAATTTTATAAGTGTATAGTCAGCCTCTTCAATGTAACAGGGACAATCTCTTCGGGTAAATAGAGAAAATATTAGAAGTGTTTAGTCAGCCTCTTTAGTGTAACGGTTACAATCTCTTCGGGTAAATAGAGAAAATTGTACAAGTGCTTAGTCAGCCTCTTCAGTGTAACAGGGACAATCTCTTCAGGTAAATGGAGAAAATTTTATAAGTGCTTAGTCAGCCTCTTCCATGTAACAGGGACAATCTCTGCAGGTAAATGGAGAAAATTTTATAATTGCTTAGTCAGCCTCTTCCATGTAACAGGGACAATCTCTGCAGGTAAATGGAGAAAATTTTATAAGTACTTAGTCAGCCTCTTCCATGTAACAGGGACAATCTCTGCAGGTAAATGGAGAAAATTTTATAAGTACTTAGTCAGCCTCTTCCATGTAACAGGGACAATCTCTGAAGGTAAATGGAGAACATTTTATAAATGCTTAGTCAGCCTCTTCAGTGCAACAGGGACAAGCTCTGAAGGTAAATTGAAAAACTGCCACAAGTTCTAACTTTTATTGCATTTTTTTTCCAGAATGGACATCGTTATGAACGTTAATTTGACTCAACGGCTTCAAAATGGAACTGTCACAGTTACTGAAAGAGAACCAGAATTGATATTCAATAAGGAAGTTACGTATTATGTTATGTTAATCAACACTTGGGGATTAGGCCAGGGTGTAACAAGCTTGGGTCTGATTGTTAATATCCTCAACATCATCATCTTTATCCGACAAGGTTTTAAGGAGTCCGTCAATGTGAGTCTCTTCTTACTCACCATATCTGATCTAGGCTCACTTGTGTTTGTGTTTTTTCTCAATCTGTGTTGGATCCCGGCTGTCGGAAAACTAGACCTTCCATTCTACCCTGATCAGATGATTTATTTTTTATTTTACGGTCATGTCATGTTCACGAGAGTCACCACCGGAACGACAGCTTGGATCGCTATGGAGCGATGTTTGTGTATTATCACCCCTTTGAAAGTTAAGTCCCTTATCACTAGCAGGAGAACTGTCGTTTTCGTTTGTGTGTTGTATTTAATCTCTACAGCTTCATGTGCGCCGCTGTTGTATACTTCAAGATTTAGGTGGAAATTTGATGCCTTTAGAAACAAATCTCTGCTTGGGCTGGTGAAAATAGAAAATAGAGAAAAAATTGAAGGAGTTGTCTACGTGGTCAACAACGTATTGCCGATAACCTTCTTTTTTGTTATCGTTGGCTGCACTGTTGTTCTCAGCAAAGCCTTACTTAAAAATGCGGAATGGAGACAACGTACTGCCATACAGAAAGAAGGGACAAACAGAGACATAAGAGTTGTTAAACTTGTCTTGATTATCTCCCTAGTTTTCATTTTCTGTTACGCTCCTGGCTCTTTATTTTTCCTGTGGGTTCTCATTGACCGTGATATGAAAATTGATGGGAAACAACGAAATTTTGCGATTGCTTTCTTTGGGATTTTGCTTCACCTGGAGTCTATCAACGCCACGGCCAACTTTTTTATTTATGTTACCATGAGTTCAAAGTTCAAAACAACATTTCAACAGTTAATGTGCTTTTTTCTTTATGAAAGACACAAATAAATAAAGTATTGGTTATGTTCAGTGGCGGGGTTCTGTGGCCTCATAGATTAACGATCTCGTATATTACAGTTAGATTTCTGTGACGGGCTCGTAAATAAAGAACATTTTCCTAAAGTTCAGCCACTGGTAAGAGAGTCCTATCGTGGAAGAGATTTAAACTTTAACACGTAAAATTAACACAGACAGGAGTGTATTCACTGCAGCCAACTACAGTTGTGGAGACGGCAAACAAATATGAATGACAAGACTTTTAATGGCAGTTGTAAATTGGTACAGGACAGTACATCCGGGTAAAGCTCCGACATCAGAGCATTCAAGACAAGCCCGTGTTAGCTCCGTCTCCGTCCTCAACAGCCACCGAAGTGTCTCCACACTGAGGGTACCCATTCTCATCTGGTTGAATACTCGCAGAGCCTTTTCTCCGAGTCTCCAGTGGCGCCAGAAGTCAACCTGCAGACAGTCACCCCTTCCTAATTATATCCAGAAACAGGTTTTCAAAATATCTTCCATCTTACTGGTTGTCTGGTCACAGAGACGAGAGATCACGGCTGGCTTGTGCACTTGCAGTACATCCCCAAATGCGGACAGTTCAGCCAACCTATCTGCCTACTCATTTCCAATACGGCCAGGTGACTTTCACAGGGAAGCTGCGTGGTCTCTAGGCATGGTGTCCGTCTCGAGTGCTAGAGGTTCCGGGTTCAATGCCCGGAAAGGGCTGGGATTTTTTCACGTGAAAGTGGACTTCTAGTAATTCCCCTGGTCTTTGGGTAGTGAGATCGGACGCCCGTGTGCATTGTTGCGCACATTAAAAAATCCCTTGGCAGTTGGAAATCGTAAAGAGAAGCCTAACGGCCCGAGCAAAATTTGGAGTTATAAATCCACCCAAAGTATTTCAGGATCCTCACCGGTGCTACAGAGCCTGTGCAGTGTGCTGAGCTTCTTCGAACTTGAGTTAGAAGAAGAACGGAGCACTTATGAGTTTCTAACCGTGCACCATGATGTTGATTCGTTGTTCATACCTTAAACCTCGAACGCAACTTTCATTATCTGCGACCGCTACGTTGATGCGAATCCCATTCAGCACCAAAAAAAAAAAAAAACAACAACAACCTGACTCCACATTCCTGATCATGCCATATTACGACATCATGTTTGGCTGAGATTGTCTCCATCCGTCGGAATGCCGCAGTTACCGCCTCAATCTCCAATCTCATGCCGGATGTGGTAATGTCATATGCCAAGCTGTCCTCTTCATCATGCGACCGCATCAGGTGATCTAATTATAGCTTCACAAGAGGTTGAAATGGGTATCTTGGTCTGTCCTTTTGGGTTGGCATTCAGCATACAGCTTTTCGGATTGCTGGTTTGTCTTTTTTTTTTTTTACTGATCAGTCTAAGTTCTCTTTAGGAGGTTTCCTCTGGCATGTAAATATTAGGATAACCAAAACAGTGTGTGTGTTAGTTTGGTTATCCTCATGGCACTCCGGAAATGTCTATAGGTGCTCAGATTTCACCGCAAGATATACACAGGAATAACATTAGGGTGGGAATGGCGCTTGGAAAGAAAGGGGACGGGGAGGGAAGGGGGAGCTCAGCCTTGTTTAATTGTGGACCTTCAAAAATAATAACAATACTATTTATTATAATTTTTAAAGCAAGGCATAAACCCTTTAAGCCCCCACATCTAAACACTGAAGAAGGGGGTGGGGGGGGGGTGTCTTGTTTTGTTTAATTTTGCAATAATAATAAAAATGATTATTATTATTTACCATTATTTGCGTTCGCCAGCTGTAAACTCCGGCGGAATGTTATGCTTGTTCGCCCACCTCTAAACTTTGGTTTTTATATAGAACCTGAGTGGTGCATGCACATCTGTTTTACAGAACTGGCTTATTTGTATGCAAACTGTTGGTTCCTTGGTTATTAGGCAGAAGCACTCCGGCTTTAAAAGAGGCCCCACTCCCCTCTCCTTCACCCCACCCTCCTCCACACACTCACAATGCGGTCCTGGAACTCACACAGGGATGATGTGGATAAAGAAGTAAGTAAAGAATATGATTTTAAAGCACGGTTTGGTGTTGGTGACTGTAATTGTAGTTTGTACGTTGACTAGTGGGAGTAGCCGTGGCGGAATGGCTAGACGCTCGCCGCGGATCGGAACATTGTGGGTTCGCTCCCTGGCAGAGCCGAGCTCTTTAAAAAATGACCTTGGTTCCTAGGTCGAACAAGCCTTGAGTGGGTACCAGGTGCAGTTCTGGGAAGTAAAGGCAGCCGTCGAGATGCTAACCACATCACCCATCTTGTGCCGATTGGTCTTTAAAATATAGATCTAGCCCTATATGCCCTATATGTCTAAAGGCGTGGAAAATGGTCTTTTACTTTACTTACGTTGACTAGTGTAGCTGCCTATATCTACTGCTCAGTCAGCTGATTCTAAAAGGGCCGAATGTAAGACGAGCATGTGTGCCCAATTTGCAACCCTAAGAAACGAAGTTTGTTTGTTCGTACTTCTCTTTTCTGCGTTTATGAGTGCGTGAACAGCATTAAGGTTTGTTCATCAGACTTTTTCAATGGTCTCAAGGATTCCCGAGTGACATTAGTATAAAATAAAACACTGAATGCTGAACTGAGAATCCAAACCAGCACACTCGGGACTTTTCCATAAGCTCACCAGTCTTACCTTCGGCAGCATGTTAGAGTTCAGATTTCAATGGTGCCAGTAATATTCTTCTGTTTGTTCTTGTTCTTGTTCTTGTTCTTCTTCTTCTTCTTCTTCTTCTTCTTCTTCTTCTTCTTCTTCTTCTTCTTCTTCTTCTTCTTCTTCTTCTTCTTCTTCTTCTTCTTCTTTTTCTTCTTCTTCTTCATCATCTTCTTCTTTTTCTTCTTCTTCTTAGCGTTCACCGGCAGTAAACTCTGGCGGAAAGTTTTTTGGTTGTGCTCAATCGGGTGGCCAGGGAAGGGTTTGAATGTTATTGGCAGTCAGGAACTGCGTGGTCAGCTGTGCAGAATGGGGTCTGTCATTGTCCTGTTGAAAAAGATCACGGCCTTCTCTATTTATTAGAGACGGCGTTGAAAAAGATATCTGTTTTTACACGGTAGTGGGTGAGACGATGTAAAGAGGAGATAACTGGAAAAATCGGTTGGTTTGTAATAAGCTGTGGTCTTCAGTCTCTGGAAATGGATGCTAACCGTGATGTCAAGAAAGTTTACCGAAGTGGTGGAGATCAGTGAGGTGAATTTGATAGCCGGACTGAAATTGTTGATGTAATTGATGAATTGGTCAAGCTCAACCTTAGACATTTATTTCGGTAGTACCAACGCCATCATCTATGTATCTCTTATACACTTCCGGAAACTTGCCTGGGTATGATAAACTGACCTCATATTCCAGGTGGCCCATAAAGAGGCACGCGTAACTGAGACCCATCTTGGTGCCCATCGCGACCCCACTGATCTGGTCGAAATACTCATATTGAACTCGAAAGAGTTAAGGGTCAGTACCAATTCAGCAAGGCGTACAAGAACCGCAGTAAGGATGATCGGGTTGAACCTTCTGTCCAAAAAGAACAGGAGTGCCCTAAGACCATCAGAGTATGGGATAGACGTATAGAGGGAGCATACGTCTATCAGGAAAAGATGGTAGGTTTTACCGGGAAGTAGCCTGATGGATCTGAAAATGTTGATGTCACGGTTATTATCTTTGACAAATGAAGACAGATTGGTGACAATCAGTTTCAAAATACCATCTAAAATTCAAAAATATACACCGTGGGACAGGAGCACGCAGATACAATGGGACGTCCAGGGTTGTTGAGCTTATGGATCTTAGGCAGCAAGTTCATACACGGTTTGCCGTGACCTAAAGGTGATTCAAGCCATTGTCTTCGCACTGAACCTGCCTGAACCCTCCGGATCATACTCATTGAATCTTTGAGTATACATACACGGGTGTACTTTTGTGTTTCGAGCCAGGCGAACACTTGCGTTACTGCCATCACCTCCATCGTCATGCTGCTGGTTGTCATGGAAAAGGCGCCGTTGGCTTCTTTGACTGTTTTGCCTGCTGAGCATGCTGTGAATGCCCAGGCGCTTCTTTCTTGGCTTATAGCGGATCCGTCTGTGTAGATTAGTGCATCTGCTTCGTCTGAATTTTCACCGATGAGAGCGTTGACCTCTGCATTAACAGCAACAGTATTATCTTCTCTACATACGAGAAATACTAACAGCTAACCAAAACACATTACGACAACGCTAACAGTCCATATCTTTTAACTACTAAAACAATACAATCTAGAACGTCTTTCTATGTCTTCAGCCTCACTTGGTGGTGGCGATTTTGCCTACCCTCGCGCATCCAGCCACCCAAGTTGCGGACACCTCACAAATCCTTCTGCAGGGCTCGATGGCAGAGTAGAAAGAGCATATCCAAGGTTGCTGAGTTCGAACCTTCATTGTTTATCCATGGGAACGTGAATA